AAAAAATAGAACCTTGGGTTAATTTGGCCTGTCCATTAATCAAAGCCTAAAGGGACCTAAATGCTTGAGATGTTATCATACTTTTAAAGGTAGAATGGTAACGAAATATGTAACAATATATTTGTCTCCATATGTGTGTCTCCCTCATTCTAAGTCGTCTAGATGCACAACTCCACAAGGAATTGGGTTCTGCGTGACATTCGACGCGCCTTGGACTCATCGGCTTTGTGAATGTGTTCACCCAAGGCCAACAAACAAACGCCCATTTTTGTTCCACATTTTAACGTGAGTAGACAATAAATCACCACTGACGGAGAAGTGGAGCACCGAGCAGCCGGTGATTTGTAGGTCCTTCTCTGTTTATCCGGCTTTTGCTTGAACTTGCAGAGACTTTGTTTAAGTAAATGCCCAAATAGCGAATACGTAATGCACTATCTCAAATGGGTTTGGCTTCGAATTGTTTTTTTTTTGGCATGTTTACACCATTTACCAAAGAACTAATATTTGACGGGAACTAATGGAAGTCAAGTTTCCTGTAAATCATAGAACCTCTCAATTCGCTGGACTGGTACTTCCGATGGGTAATTGCCCCTAGCATGTACGTCTATTTTGTAAGATCTTGGCTCAAAGAACAAATAGCAACAACGATCAAGCTCAAAAAGACGCTTGTTCCTCATTAAACCTCGTCACCCAAAGACCGCTATTTGTAATTGCATGCAAGTCTATTTTCTGGTTATGGGCAACTGACCTAGTCCGAGGAAAGTGGCTTACTCACGAATCCTAGTACGTAGATAAATCCTCACATGATTAATGTTTACAGAGCAAAAAATGAAAAAGAGTAGTTTATTAATTCTTAAGAAGGAGTCTTTTAAAAATCGCCTTTCCATTTTCGCGTACCCAAAGTCCAATTAAAAGGCTGTCAACATATTTCGTTTCAGAGAAAAGAAACCTTCGATAATTTTGATTTGTTTAATTGTGTCCAAAAGCAATAAAGAAATTGCAAAGCTTGGTGCGCCACGCTTTTTCTATTGCAGTCCGCTTTCTGTGCAACACTGATCGCAGAGTTTTAGCATGAACAGCAAATAGCCATTTGACCCAAAGTGATGTTGCTTATGAAATGGAAGCTTCCGAATCTACAGCACGTGATTCCTTGTATCAGTTAGCCCTGGTTTCGACGTAAACGTCAGCTTATCCACGACCCCATCTCCTTGCTTACCCACCAATAGGAAAGTAAAGCACGTAAATACCTCGTAACTAGTTTCACATAACTTTTTGTTCGTACTTATCTCCATTCATAATATTCCTACTTATCAGGGGAATTAAAAATAAGAGGGGATTCGCTACAAGGAATTTTCAAACCAAAAGACTCTCTCATAAAGTTGCTTAAATACTGCTTATTAGCATAATAGTGGGACGTTTTAAAACGGCTAACATATTTGTAACCATGCCAACCAATAAAGACTCGAGTAAAACATGGGTATGAAGCGGCTATTTATGCCATAGGAATTCATTTAAATTAAATTTCTTATTTATAGGTGCTTCTTACATGCAGTTCTGTTTGTACGTCTACAGATTAACAGACGTAACATATAACAATGAAAGCTAATCACGCGGGGATAGGTTTTTTAAAAATATCACCTTAAAAGTTAAAAATGCATGACTCATTGCTTACTAAGATGTGGTTCTTTACTATAATGCAACCCACACACACACACACACACCCAAAACCCCCATAAATAACTAATGACAACGTCTTTAAACAAGCCCTCTAAGAAAAACATCGAGGGAAGAAATAAAACTCCACTTTTTTTCAAATTTCCAACCCGAACATTTGATGAAGCTTAGTTTCCTCTCCCGCACCGAAGTTTATCTGTTAATGTTTTTGGTCGTATATCCTTGTTTGCACAGTCGTAGTTTAATAAGAAACTGCAGTTCTGTAAATGAAAAGAGACCCTTCTCAATCAAAGATAATATAAATTGACAGCATTCCTTTTGCCAACGCCCAATGTTTCATTAAGTAAACTACTGGTATATGCTCACTTAGCGCCGCCACTAATCAGGTATGTGGTGGGTATAACTAAACAATACATCTTCCACACTCCTAACGGTGATAACGGGGAAAACACGACGAATAGGCTTGACTGAGATTGCTAAAATAGATTGGAACTTCAGATTAGAATCAACACAGTTGATACTTCCTTGCACCCGTCTTAAGGTTCTAGCCAAATGGCAAGTCTCAGTAGTTTGCCACCCCCGAATTGAACCGGTGTAAATGTCCTCAGAACACCTCTTTGTTTTGGGTGTGACCTAATAGAACAAGCGGTGCTTGTTAAAAGACCTTCCTAACCCAAAGTAGGTCATTTACTTTTTTATAGACATGAGTCCTAGATAAATTGGGGAAAAAATTTTCTGCCCTTTTTTCTAGGTTCTGGAGCCTACCTGAGGCCTAGATCCGTGATAGACAAACCGAATTTTCAGCTTGAATCGGGCTGTAAAGTTTAAACTCGCTCCCCACCTGTGCTCGTTTCACAATTGCTGCTGTACTGAATGTAAACCACTTTATTAAATCTTTCTGCCGCACCCTGTGACTACTTTTATGGCGAAAGAAGACACAAAACTTTGGCAGAATACACACAGTAGAAGTAGAAAAGGGGGCCAGGCCGCTCGACAGTGGTACGATGGCGGAGCCCCTAATTGGCCCGTTACCAAAACCTAGAGTTAAACAAACAATTATTATATTACATTTTACATTCACGTATCTGTGGTCGAAAGGGCTTTTTTACTTAAAAATTAAGACCGTGGGGAAGACATACCACTTAACTTTTTATGGTATTGTGCTTCAAATTCAAGGCCTAAAAATTTATCAGTTGTATATTCCCAACCTTTATTAGTTAGTCATTTAGTCGCTAATCTAGATTTAGTACATGATTTATTACACCTTAAGAGAAATCAACTCCTTAGGGCCATTTTTCAACATGAATACCACAGTACTACTTAATGTAAATGAAACCAACCTTACCCCTGCCTACTTTTATAGCTAACTAGTAGTATATGCGCAAGCGAATTAAATATGCGGACGGAGTTTGTCAGCGCTGTTTCTACAGTTTTAATTAGGGTAATAGCACTGCCCTTTACCATCTTTCATACCTAATAAAAGTAGTTGTTCTGTGGGGAATCAGAGAGGTTAAAGGCTACGGCAGCAGTTATGATATCGCCAGTAATTAGCATTCCGTTTTTTTGGGAAGGAAAAAAAGTGATAACGACTTTACGTGTAACAGTAACATCGTAACTCTCAAGTGTACCGTAAAGTTCTTTTTTTCCGCCATAGTGATTCACAAAACTAAGTGCGGGCGGCAGTGTAGGCGTGGCAAAATTCCTTCGCACCAATTACGCTAAACCTTACACGTGATTTGACCCAAAATTCTCATTCCATTTTTGCCCTAGAATCCAAAATCTTGTCTTTAAAGGCAAATCCACAGTTTTTAAAACTCCGCTGGTTATGTGCAGAATGCCAAGTAAACCCGCTTCGAGTCGCTTAAATGACGCGCGCACTTTTTTTACCTCCACCCTTCCGAATGGGGAAGCCTAATTTCAGACTTCAAGTCAAACTAATTCCCTTCCTTTGAATAGGGCCAATTCACAAATTTTCTCGAGGTTTACTGATGCGCGCACAGCTGACATTTAAGAAAGAAAGGGAGGAAAGAAATACATGCACGCTGGCGCCGTACGCCCACCAAATAGCTCCGCATATCCGGGGGGAAGGAGAATCTCCGCCGCGCATCGATTATTCCCCCCGGAAGGCATTAGTCGGTATTTGAAGTGGCGCCGAAATTTCCCCATTTTAAACAAATTGTGTCATCTTTGCCCTTTAATCACCAAAGGGGCTATAATGGTTTGCAGCTCGTGCAAATACCAAAAAACAATAATTTAGAAAATTGGTCCATTGGAAGACTGTGTTCAGAGCGCCAAACCTCCGCACTCAATTTCAACAAATTTATTGGTGACTCGTTTTCAGGGCACACTCGCGGTTAATTTGAATAGCCCCATGGCGGGGCTAATATATGTGTCCTTCATTTTAACAAGGAATTGTGAGTCACACATTTGCTTAATTCGGGAAAATGGGGTAACGGCCGTGCCGCAAAATGCTGAGTCATGTGTACATATAAATGGCACTGTTGCTACGGCAACCTGTAGGATGAAATGCACTGACATCTGGTAACTGTATCGGAAATGCTGTGTGTAAATTGGCCGAGTTATACCCGAATTAAGGTATTTAAGAACACCCACACGAAGTTGCCTCATTAAAACAAAATGAGGGGAAAATGTTTGTAAAGAAAATTTTAAATGCAGCGGTTTCTTTAATAAATTTGCAAAAATTTCTGAATCCAAAAACTTTTTTAAAAATTTGCTTACTATCTACTTAATTTTTTCCTTATTTTTTATCCATTTTTCTTGCATAATGAGTAAAGGAAACTTCTTTGTGTGTATCTAGCATCCATCTCTTTATCACTCACCTTGAAGTGTTAGGCTGTAATTTCTACGTCTCTGTAACCTGAATATCACCTCCGATGTACCCGCATGGAACTGAGGCGGTACCTACGCTGATTCCCACAATGCGGGCTAAATAACTTTTTTTTGCTATCCGGCTTACACATCATTGAGGGGTGTGTGAAAGCCGTAACTTAAGTGCCTCAATCCATTTAAAACACACATGCACCGTCTAAGATAACGCGCTGACCTTTCCCATCAAGGCGAAGCGTAACATACCTCGCACATAATCATAATGTCACTAAGGCCTCTTTCCGTCTGACAGACATTAAAATGGAAATTTATTAGTGCTGTTTATAAGGTTTTGGAGTCACTGAAGGAAAGGAAGAACTAAATGGCTGCTTTTCTGTGTAGAAGAGTTTTCATGAATGTGTGCTGAAGTAGAGTGATCGCCTGAGAGACTAATTTTGTCAATTAAATAAGGAACTGCGAGAGTGATTGGCAGGAGCGCGATGAAGGAGGCGGTTGCAGTGACTTTCAGTCTTCGTCGTCGTCGTCGTCGTCCTCCTCCTCCTCTTCCTTTCCTCAAGGTCATGCTTTCGTCCAACTCGTGTAGAATCTTTTCAAGGCGGGAATAATAACGGACCTACCACCCTTGGTGGTCGCGTATACCGTAGATGCTATCGTGGCATTGTCAGGCGTGCTTAAGAGGGACAGTGCTCTTCAACAGGCATATTTTGCATGCCTGTCTTTCTCCGCTAGCTGCACTTTTCTAAGGAAATCTTTGGGCCTGACCTTGTTTCATATTAAAGATTGGTAGAAACAAAGTGACTTCGGTAGCCCTTCCGTTGTGAGTAAACCAGCAGACATCCTCCTCCAGCATCGCTAAGCTTTAGTGTCCGGTCGACGGAACTAGAACCGCCATTGGCTCACTGCGATCACACCCATGTAGAGCTCCGAGTTACCACGTGGATAGGACTTCGTGACACCAAATTGATGGTGTACTTTTCAAATGCTCTTAAGTAATTGTTATTTACTCGATTTTCAAATTCACCTTCCTAGCAAATTCACTTCAACGCATGAAGCCTTACCGTCAGATCTGTAAGAGTTAATGATATTCTCCTCGCACCATCGGGTGAATGCGTTTGTTTATGCAGTAGACCTGCGATGCCAAAACCTGCAATTATCAGCACCAAATGTAGACACACACTTTACCGGAAATGCAGTTTTATGGCGAGATTTGAATGATGGCCGTGCACATAAACACAAAGTGGGGGCGGGGGGTGAGAAAGGGGAGCTTTCAAACAAAACCAAATTTTGTTAGTTTGTAAGAAAAATGATCAAATTTTAATGAGTGGAAAAGAAATTTGTTTTTTGCCCATTCTCGTGCTGCATGTACGAACAGAAGAAGCAGCTTCGGCATGGAGGGACTGGGTAAAACTAACTTCCTCCTCCTCCCCTAGGGCAGCCAGCCTATCTCGGTGTCTGGTATATACTAGCTTTCTGAGATACAGAATGTTCACGAATGAACGGGTTGTGCTTGTCTCTTGTGCAGTTTTATCAAAGGTGGGTCGTCCAAGTTCAGGCGATGTAGTTATACATGATGGCCGAATTGTCCCGGCAGTGGCCAAGGATGCACAGTTGGGCAGCCACCTTGGAGACGTTTTCACTGTTCAAATGTAGCACTGTGACGCGCCTTCATTTACAATAAGCTTCAGCACCACCTTTCTTTCCATACGCATGATAAAGCATTGTCTGACAAGTCACCCAACTGTGTCTGAACCGCACCGGTTGCTAGTGTGTGGTAGAATACACCCAACACTTAATTATGCACGCACCTTTCAGGTATATTCAAACCTGGATTTTTCAAAAGATTGCGTTGAGCCTCCAGTCGTGCCGAGGGACGACTTGCTTTACCTTCAAAAGGAGGTTGGAGAGCATCCAAACAAAGCAGAGAACACACCTTTTACCAACGAGGAGGATCAATTGGACCTCAACGATCTGAACGGCGAGGGTACCGTCAAGGAAACCGAAGGTTTCTCTCAGAGCACCTTCAGTGAGCAGATTGACTCGCCCACACCATCGATAGAGGAGGACTTCCTCCCACCAGCACCTCCTATGAAGTCGGAATTTCCGCCCGAAGAAGGTCTCCAAGAGGAGCCTGAGTTTCAGGAGCACTTTTACCCTGGAGAGGATTTTAATGCCGATGGGCTTGCTCCTGATCATTTTCAAGAAGACGTACCAGAAGAAGGAGAAGAAAGTAAAGAGCATTTTGAGGATCAGGAACCTTTTGAAGCTCGAGAACATCACGAGAGACTAGAACAGTTAGAGAATCAAGAATATTTTGATAATCAGGAAAATTTCGAAGGCGAGGTTCTCCACGAGGTACCAGAACAGCAAGAGGAACATTTTGGGGATCAGGAGCAGTCCGAAAACGAAGAGCATATTGAGAGCATGGAATTGCACGAGAGTCAAGAAAAGTTCCAGAATCCAAGTTATTTTGAGAACCAGGAACACTACAAGGACCAGGAATACTGCGAAGAGGAGAAGGAACCGGAGGTAGAATCTGAGCTACCAATCGAACACCCATCCCCGCCAGAACTCCTCCACGCAAGCGAGCAGGTAGAGCATACTGACCATCTTTTGGAGAATCCAGAAGGCCACATTGAGACTCCTCAAGACACTGATATTTTGGACAAGGCTCACATGAACCTAGTCGGTGAAACAGATCAATTTACGGTGGAAAAACAGGAGTCAACACCTTTCCACTCCATAGCAAGAATTGGAGCAGGGGAAGCAGAAATAGATGACTTTCAGCCTGAGGCTTCATTGGCTTCAAGTGAACACCCGGCGGAATGGAACAGGCACACAGCGGATGCATTGGATATTGCAGTTAGCGAACAACCCATAGTGCCACAGCCGCCTGTTATGCATATTAAAGATGCAGTCCAACAGGAGGCGAAACCTTCTTTCCACGATATCAAAAAGAATTTGGAAAGGAGAAAGTAAGTGTATTAAAATATGTCCCCCTCCCATTCCTTTCAATCAACAAATTATTAGGTCCGCTTGAAATATTTCAGCTACTAAGCAGTTATATGCTGCGTCACAAATATGTGACACAGAGTCCAAAGCTTGTAATAACTGGATGCACCGAATCTAAAATCTGTTTGGATCTAGCTGCATATCAAAAAAAATTTTACTGGCCTGTCTTTAGGTTAATAACATCTGCCCGCAATAACTGCTGACATTGATGATGAATGATTGCTGATCTTCCGGTAGTTGAGACTCTGGTTCGAGGTGGAAAGTAGACAGCGTTATATCTCCATACAAGACGGCTGGGGAAGTTAACCTTTTGACCCCTTAAAAGCACAAAAACATCTTCAACACCCAAAGCCCAAAGTCTTGACGTTTGCAGGGGTGAGGGGCATGGTTGCCAAATCTTTTACATTACCTTCCCTTTCCCATTAATTTCTGAGACAACTTGTAGATTCATTTAGTAGACCAGAGGAGCAAAATCCTTTTAACTGGATTTTTGGACACAAAAGATCATTGTGGACCTTAACAAGAATCACTCTGCTGTGTGAGTCACACGCAAACATGCCCAATGCCACAAATGCCAAAGGAGTTTATTTTGTCTCCCCTCAATTTCACATCATTTTACATGTAAATTTATAAGTGTATCTGTAGTTTATTCACCTAAAATATTCATGCGAATCGCCAGTTTACTAAGATACTTGAGTAGTAGGGGATTTCTACTGAGCTGGTGCTTGACGGAGGCTGTCATCTACCGAACCCCGCCCCCCTGGCCCTGGTTGTATATCCACCACTCATTTTCCAGCAGGAGAGTAGCAATTGTAAACTGGCAAATTCACAGGGGATTAGGGGCTAGATGTGGAGTACGTTCACACTCATGCCCCCGTGGGTACGAGTGTGGCACAAAGTCCGCCGCGTCATCGGTACATACACACATATACGGGTGCACACACAACTCTCTCGCCTCAAGCTCATTGGCTCCCGCATAAACACATTTGAGCTGCATTTCTCTGTCTTCCTGTCTCTCTATATTTCATCGACAGTCTCAAATAGCAGGCACATTTATGGCGCGTGGGTCTTATTCATTGAGCGCCTATTTGGAAAATTATTCTTGGCAGGAGCACTCAAGAGGTGGACAGCTTTCACGACACAATCTAGAGCCCGAAGAAGCGAGGTCTGTATCTACCTGTAGTTTTTCATCATTTTTCTGGTACTAAGTAGCTATTTACTAGCAAAATTTATGAGGTCACACAAACTAACCAATAACTGTAATTGCGTCCAAAATTACCACTCCCTTGAGTTGATTAATTGCATAGTTTTTGTCTCATGCCTCAAATGAACACTTTTAGATAGCAAAACTGATATTTTTGCATCAACAAATGCAAATGCAATAAGCTAAAGCAATTTTTCCCCATTACACAGAGGGACTGAAATCGACTAATTAAAACTTTCCTAAACGGTGATTGGTTGAAAGCTCCAAAACTTTGTGTCATATGATGCCCAATCGGGTGGGTCAGAGGCCAAGTGACGGACACCGCAGACCAATCAGTTTGGAGTTAGAATCATTAACCTCAAGGCTGAATTGGGATGGGATGTTGCCGATTCTGGCGCATTTTTTAACCAAACTCCTTTTCATTTGAACACATTTTGTATGGTCTTGGGAAGTAATTTAATGGTGACAAGAGTATTTGCCGAGCGATATTAAGTCTGGTCTTTACAAAAGGTATTCGCTTGTACACATTTGTAGTGATTTCTTTGTTTGTGCTTTGACTTTTATGAATGATAAAGTACTAAACATAACAAAGCTTAGTTGAAATTAAGAGAAAATTATCCTGATTTCCCTGTAATAGGATGCAAATAGTATCGTAAGTTAAAGTTTCTTTATTTCTTGTGGTTTATTTTAGTATGATCTCGTCAGTGTCTTCTTGTAGAGTTAGCTTGTCCCTTAGTTTGTTCGATGCAGTTTCCCACTTTACGTGTGTGGTGCAGTATATCACGGATTAACTTAGAAAGGACTTTTACAATCCGCTAAATGCATATGCTGGTTAGCTAAATGAGGTCATGCTCGGTGCCTACGTTTTTGTGGCTTTCAGGTGTTATTGTTTGGTCCATCCATCCATCCATCCATCCATCCATCCATCCATCCATCCATCCATCCATCCATCCATCCATCCATCCATCCATCCATCCATCCATCCATCCATCCATCCATCCATCCATCCATCCATCCATCC